AATTAACAAAATATTATAAAATTAATTCTGTAACTCTGTTAGCTAAGAGAAAATTTTTGACAACTAACAATCAACTAATAATCAGCTAATAGAGTTAATAGTTAGTTAACAGAATTAACAAAATATTACAAAGTAAAAGTTATTTTCTTCAATTTTAATAGGTGAGGAGTTAAAAATATTATAATATAAAGTGAAAGACTAAAAATATTATAATATAAAATAAAAAGTTAAAACTTTCAAACTTAATAAGATGAGGGGTTAAAAATAAATTTTTACCTTAAAAATCAAACAAAAAAAATAAACCAAACCGAACCAAACCAAACCATAATTGGACCTAGTCCCACTCATGAGTCTGGGACAAAGTTTTAGATCATGATCTCAGTTTGCCACTTTTTCTTAATTAAAGATTCCAACTTTAGTTTTTCCACCAAAGTTGTCCAACACTTTTTCGTAGGATTCGATTTCATTTTTCCTTTTTGAAAAGTAGCAAGCAGGTTTGATTTTCTAGAGACAAAGATAATATAAAATATTAAACACATTAAAAGTTAGGATACCGTTGGATTTTTCTTTTATTTAATGAGAGTAACGTTAGATTTTTAATTATGTCATTTAATAAAATATATTAATCCCACTAGAAACTTGAATTTAACCATGGTTAACATAGGAGTTGCATTTGCGTGCAAAATCATTTCATGTACACGCTTGATTTGCTGTTTCTGTCTTAAAATAATAAATATTTTTTATTTTAAAATTTGTTTTAAAATAATAATTATTTATTTAATTTTATAAAAAATAAATATTTTTTTCTTATTAAAACGTATGATTAACTCTTGATTTTTATTATATATTCTATTATAAAAAGTCTCTTTATTTTTATTTATTTTTTCAGGATAAAATAAATAAAGATATAAATTATCTTTAAAATTTTAATTTTAAAATAAAAATAAAAAACATTTATCCTTTTAAAATAAAGAAAATATATTAGTTTATGGTTAGTATAGAACCAAACTATTGATCGAAGAATCTCAATATCATACCTCATATGATCAAAACGTTATTTTACAATTTAGATTTAAAAAAAAAAAAAAGAAGAAGGGCATTTGTGAAATAATATATCAACATTCTGATGCATATGCTTTTTTGATTAACTAAAATAATTTCATCGAATGATAACAGAATGGGTATTTCAACTAATATAGCACATTGTAAAGGATTGAACAAAGCGTTTTGCTTGGCTTGTGGGAATTTTTGTTTCATGTTTGTTTGTTATGAACTTTTTGATATCCTGAGTTTTGTGTCCGAGTTTGTCTATTTTGAACTCTTTCTTATACTAGGTGGGTTTTTCTTTTTAGCTGTTGTGAGAATGTGTTCTGACTTCTGAGTCTGTTTTGAGAAAATATTTGATACCCTTGTACTTGTATCAATAAATATTTTTTTGATAAAAAACTTCATATAAAACATTATGCTCTCAAGGAGCTTGAGATTCTAATTAAGTTGAGAATTTAAGTTCAAATCTTACATCAAATAAAAAGGAATTTCAGAAAAAGAAAAAATTAGTCTCTCTTATATACTTAATCATTAGATGTACAAAAAAAAAAGAAAAAAAGAGAATACATTGTAAAAGTTTCAACAAACCACTACAAAGACATCATAACTGAACTTTAAAAACATAACAAAAAAATCCATCTTTTCAATCTCAAGTTATTAATAGTAATTTGTCGTTAAACTTATATATCAAACTAGTTTACAAGTCTAATCGATATGAATTGAGGGGTGATTTTCCAAATAAATAACTATGTATAAAAACTAATCTCTATGAGAAAAGCCTGCTATCCATTTTCCTTTGCTCTTGCAGACTTAATGAAAAATCGAAATACCCTGATGTGCGGGCAAAGATTAGGATTTTTACTTATTCACTGCATTAGAGCCGCTTAGATACCCGTCATAGTCCTCAATGTACTCAATCAATCGCTCTAAGAACTCGTCACCACTTACAGTTGCAGTGTAACAAGCAAGACAACAATGTCCACTTGCTTTTGTCATAGACATATTCATTTGCCTATGCTCACTTAAAAACCCCATCTGAAGCATTTAAAATGCCACAATTTGATTTCCAATTTAAAATTCTACCAAAGGAAAAAAAATAAATCAATAAAAATTTGGAACCGTAATTTAAAGTACCTCTTTGATTGAGTTTGGTTGAATTTGCGTAGAAATAGTAAGGAATTTCTTCTCTCGATCTGGGAAACCATCAGAAGTTGAGTTTTTTACTTTCTTTAATCTGTCATTGCATCTCAACATCTAAGGTAGGACAACCTGAAACATAATTTCAATTCAAAAGGACAAACCAATCCATTTCTCAGTCAGTTTGTGAAAGGAAGAGAAGTAGACGAAAGATATCTCTTTTAACCATGTTACAAGGTCTAGAGAAATGAGACAAATGACTACAGCATAGTACACTCTCTAATACCTGAAGAGTTGATAAAAGCTCTTAAACAGTGAAGAACAAATGCACCCCAACACCCAAAAACAAAGGATTGAAGGCAATGAGAGATGCGTCTGGGAAGACATTGCATTTGAATAGGCACTCTGTAGGAAGTCACTTGGTCCTTAATTAAGGCATAATTAAGGATGAAGCAAGAGCAAGCATATTTTTACCTGCCTTGCAAGCTATTGCTCAGCTCCCTCACTTTTCTTCCTTTTGTTGATGGTAAGATTCCCATGCCATTAACAAATTTTACAGTAGTTGTTCAGAGCAAAATTTCCAAGGATAACTTGAACTATTTCAGGTTCGAAGGATGCGAATATATCCCTGTACTTACCAAACATTTTTACCTTTATATTAAAATAAAGTAGTATCACTTTGGCTTTGAATTACAAAATTGCCTAAACTAATTCCAAACCTGATTTTTCTTCTGACATTCAAAAGTTCCCACTAGCCAATCAATATGACTGCATATCCATGACCTTTGATCCATTAAAATCAATGTTAAACCCAGTTAGAATGATTCGCATCCCTTTTTGATCAAACAAAAATGATCTCATCAAATAAAAGTACAAAGGGGTACTTCAATCCATACAATATACTGCTGTAAAAACTTCATCAGGTCACTTCAAAGACATCATCACAGAAGTTTGAAAAATAAAACAGGAGACTCCGTCTTCCAAGTTCCCAGTCACAACAATCAGTAGGCCTGCATACACCACTAATACACATCCTATTTGCTAGTTATTAGCATGAAACAAACATGGATGATCATGATGTCTGGCACCTTACTTTTCTGTTGATTTTCTAGGTAAATTAACAAACAGAAATAATTTTCCACAGCTCCTGAAGATGCGGATGTAGCAAATTAGGCAATAAACTGAAATGCCCTTGGGGACAAAGAATCTTGTTCTTATCCCATCAGGATCTTTACTTATCCATGTAGTATTTTGAGCCACTTATATACTCGCCATGCTCCTCAAAGTACTCAACGAATCACTCTAAGAATCCATCACTTCTTACTGTTTCAGTGTCACAGACTGGGTAACAATTTCTTCTTGTTCATGTCGCAGCCACATTCATATTCATCCATGGTCACTTGACAACCCCACCTAAACATATTTAAAATGATACAAATTTATTTCCAATTTAGAGTTCTACCAAAGGAAAAAAGAGCTAGAACAGTAGCTTAGACTACCTCTTTGGCACGGTTTGACCAAAAAATGGTAATAATAGTGGCTTCCCTCTCTTTACTTGGAAACCATTAGAAGTTGAGATTTACACTTTCTTTAGACTGTCCTTATTGCATCCCAGCATCTTTAGTAAGACAACCTGAAAAATAATTGAAATTTAAAAGAACAAACCATCCATGTATTGGTCAATTTGCGAAGGAAATGGAAGTAGAGCAAGGAAAGACAATTGACTAGAGCACAATATACTCTTCAGTACCTGGGCAGAATATGGGGTAATGTAATAATTCCAATATCAGAAGCTTGGACTCGCCTCTTTGCAAGAGAAATATCGATCTCAGCTTCACCTTCATTCGGTCTGTGCTGTCTTCTTTTCATACTTCTTTCATCCACATCACGTCTGAAGCATCAATCATGTACCTTTAACAAATTTAAGAGCTTAAATAAGTAGATCTTAATAAAATTTGATTACAGAATCAATATCAAGTTAGGAAGTATGGCTCTCATTTTTCTGAACCTTCTGTGTCAGTTTTAATTACATTCATGCTTGTTCAGGTGTCTGTATGTATGAATCAAAGTATGACTTGCATAAGATTCATAAGGTCCACATTTTGGTCTTTCCGTATAAAAAACCGAACTGAAAACATTATGTGATGCAAAAAGCAGAACTCAAGCTCATTTAAACACATTAATAGAAGGGACCGTTGTCTACTCCACGTACCAATTAAAGCCAATATGCTAATAGCACATAAGGAAAAGTGCAAATATTGCCCCTAAACCAGCAAAACTTCCAGAGCTCCCATCACTATTTATTTGAGTCCTTAACTTTATGTGCTGGAAGAACTTCTCCTTTGATGGATGAAATTTAAGAAGTGTTTTCCCTAGTAGTCCTGTCCACTTTGAAAACCAAACGCAAAGTAAATTATGAGATACTTGAGTGATTCAATGTTCCATTTTGGTGGAACAAATCAGGGTTTGACTTGTATATAATTCCTAAGGTCTACACTCAAAAATTTTCAGAGAATAAAGAACTGAAAAGTCATTCCACCATTCTGTGATACATTAAGCATAATTCAAGCTTACTTAAATACATACAGTGCAAGAGAACTGCTTTCCATATCATGTGCCAGTTAAAGCGAACTGAAGCAAAAAATTGGTTGAAGAATCCTAATAGATGCTACCTTTTGTTTTGGCCAACACAGATGATGCCTTATTCGCCACATTTTCTACATGAAAGGGACTATATAAACCTTCTTCTGGGATCTCATCCTGTTCAATGTGCACAGGAAGTTAGCAACACGAGTTCAGGAGAATCACACAGAACTAGAAACAACAAAATCAACAGTGTAATAACCCAAAGTTTCTTTTACAAGTCTCAATTATCTTTGGCCAAAAAACTACACCTTTCCAAAGAGCAGGAGACTCCTAATTAGCTTTCTTTGGTTTTAACTTTTAATACAACTACATCATGGGTGTCAAACTGCATTGAAAAATTAATAAACATATGTAACTCCAAAATCTATTTGACTACAGGAAAAGTGGTTTAGAAACAAGACAAAATAGAAGACATGCACCATCATTTGCATTGGATGGAGCAATTTAATAGTAATTGCTACAAGATATTTGACGCACGTTTCTTGTTAATTTAATTGAAAAAAAAAAAGAAAAAAAAAAAGGATTAAGCTTGAGTGTACAAGTAATGGAAAATAGCAAGATGCAATGGGATTTGAAAAGTCATAATATCTGGAAAACTCAGAATCTAATGTCTTTAGACTTTAGAAACCTAAAGAATAATCACATGCAACATGATACCGAACATGAGTAAGCAAAATTCAAAATATTTCACCAAAACCATAAAATATGTAAGAGCTACCACCACTATTCATTTGAGTCCTCACCTTGTTAGCCGGAGGAACATCCCCTTTGGTAGATTGAAACTACAAAAGTGTTTTCACCAAAAGCCCTGTCTACTTTGAAACTTTGAATACCTAATGCTTAATAAATTGTAAAATACCTGAGTGATTTTTTATTTCATTTTGGTAAAAACAGAAAAGAAACGAAAAAAAGTTGTTTATAGAAATTGATATGTGAAAATCTTGCATACTTGGGCTAAATAATTATGCAGAATCCTTTTTATTTCAAATCCAAGCATGATTCATATAATAAATATATGATCTGAACATCAACACACTTGAAATTCAGAATATATAGTGAAGTCGCTGTTTTGAGCAGTATCCAAATTTCATGAAGAGCCTAAAAAGATAGATGCTGATTTCTCTGCTTGCTGTATGCATTTTCATTCATAAAAAATTCCTCAATTTGTTGAAAATGAATGGTAGAACAAAGATTCGCAGAGTCATACCTAAAGGAAAATAAGCAAATTGATTCTCACCTTTCAATCTTCTAGATAACCCTCCGATTTTGACTGTTCCAACTCCGATAATGTAAAATCTTCAAATTCAAGTACGAGTAGAAAAATCCGTTACTAGAACATCACGGGGAAGAGAAATTAAGCACTACCATACATTTTTAACAGTAATCAAGGAATTTATTTATGCATTTTCATTCATTAAATATTTTTTCAATTTGTAGGAAATGAATGCCAAAACAAAGATTTGCGGAGAGTAACACCTAAATTAAAATAACAAATTGATCCTCACCTTTCAATCTTGTGGATAATCCACTGATTCCGACAGTTCCGACTCCGATGATGGAATCAGGTATCCATCACGAGCAACTTGAACCATGGGCTGAAGGACATCCTTTGCATTGGGATGGTCCCACTCCAAAGATTCCCACCATTCTTGTTCTCGTCGATATATGTTGATTTTTTTGAGGGAAGGCGGAGGAGATGGTTGGGCGTTATCAACCAGGGGTAGAGAGAGAGGGATCCTCCTTAGGCCCTTACAATCATAAATGGTAATAGATTCAAGAGAATCACATACCATTATTGCCCTTCTGCTACACATGCTCTTCAATACGGGCAAGAATAACATTATCAGCCGTTTTAATTTAGGAAGAAAGAGCTTCTTGATGAAGTCCCCTCCTCCTTCTCCTTCTTCTCCTTCTTCTTCTGGATCTGATCCTATTATTTCTTCCATTTCACAATCACGGACATAAATACTTTCAAGACTTTGGAGATATTCCACCAACTTCCAAGATGGAAACAACTTTGCTCTTTTGCATTCCTGAATTTTAATTTCTTTAAGAGATGAAAAAGTGCAAGGCTGAGGTGGTGACATGGCAATCAATTCTACTTCAAACAGCCAATCCAAGTTGTTCAACCCACAAAGAGATAGATAAGGAGGGAGATGACATGGAATCCTCCTTAGGCCCCTGCAATTGTTAATTTCAATATCTTTAAGAGAATCACATACCATTACTGCCCTCCTGCTACAGATGCTCTTCAATGCGGGCAAGAATTTCAATGACAAATATTTTAATTTTGGATGAATGAGCTTCTTGATGGTGTCCCCTCCTTCTTCTCCTTCTTCTAGATCTGATCCTATTACTTCCTCCATTTCTTCACAACAGCCAACTTTAATACCCTCTAGACTTCGAAGATATTCCACCAACTTCCAAGATGGAAACAACTTCTTTGCTCTTTTGCAGTTCTCAATTTTATTTTCTTTAAGAGATGAAAAAGTGCTAGGCTGAGGTGGTGACATGGAAATCAATTCTACTTCAAACACCCAATCCAAGTAGTCCAACTCAGAAAGAAACAGATGAGGAAGGCGACGAAAAGGAATCCTCCTTAAGCCCCTACAATCGGTAATTTCAATCCTTTCAAGAGAATCACATTCCATTACTGCTTTCCTGCCACAGATGCTCTTCAATGCTGGCAATCTCTCCAATCTCAGATGTTTTAATTTTGAAAGAATGAGCTCCTTGATGATGTCCCCTCCTCCTTCTCCCTCTTCTAGATCTGATGCTATTATTTCTTCCATTTCTTCACAGTTGTTGACATCAATACTTTCAAGGCTTTGGAGATATTCCACCAACTTCCAAGATGGAAACAACTTCTTTAATTTTTTGCAAGAAAAAATCCGAACTACTTTAAGAGATGAAAATGTCCCAGGTGGAGGTGATGACTTTGCAATGATGTTTGCTTCAAGTAGCCCATCCAATTTGTGCAAATTCACAAGTTTCAGATACTCAACGGTTTGGACAACTGAGTTGTTTATCCACGAGGGAAAAATGCACTGCATGCCATCACAATCCCGAATCCAACATATCCTCAAATCTGTTGCATCATTGATTTTAGAAAAATCATCTAAGCTTCTTATGTCACGGCAAGCTTCAATACCTAATATTTGTATGGAGGGAAATAACATATTCTCTCCAACAATACAAGTCTCCGTGAACACCATTATTTTCTTATATCTTGGCAGAATTTCTAGAAAAGAATCAGTCATAAACAAATTGCTTCCAACAGTAATAAAATAGCTACTCAGCCTATCAGGCTGACATCTGAGAAAGATTCTCATGTCATTTGCAGTGGGGAACCAGCCATGAAAAACTTCCAACTTCATCAATCTCCCAACCACATCCCCCTTCAATTTTATTCTACTGCCATCTACAATTAACTCATGAAGTTTGGAGAGATTTGATAATACTTCATCCGCTATTTCATCTATTTCAATAATATCAAAAGGTTCTGATCCACAAAGAAAAAGACATTTCAAATTCTTCAACATTCCCAAGCCTTCAGGGACTTCTTTGATTTTTGTCTCCCTAAGGTTTAACTTTTTCAAGGATCCGAGGCCTGATAAAGATGGAACCTTTTTTAGGGATGTTGATTCCAACAACAATGTAGTAAGCTTCACCAATTTGGAGACTGAATTTGGCAGACTCCATAGCTTGTAATTGAAGGAGAGATCTAGAATTTTTAGCTCCGGCATGTGCTCAAATACAGATTCTGGAATTGTTGACAATTCGTTATAGGCCAACAACAAGGTTGTGAGACTTGTGCATGTTGGAGACACCATCCTCCATGGAATTTCTTCAATATAATTATGCATTAATGAAACCTTTTCAACACCTTCTGCACATTTCACCTTCTCTGGTAGCTCTTTCAATGCCTTGCCAGCTTCTACCAAGAACCGAGGACTCATTCTTGTAATGTCTAAGGCCATGTCCCTGATAAGATCATGCATCCTCACACGATCTCCTCTAACTTCATCTTTAATCAGTTCCAACAAGCTATTGTCTTCAAGCTTCCTCAAAATACCATAACCCTCATCCTTCATTGATTGCCGAGATTCCATTTCATCTATAAACCCCTCGTCAATCCAGCTTTCAATTATTTCCTCCTTCGGAATCTTGCAATCCTCAGGGTACAGTGCACAGTATAAGAAACAATATTGGATCTGTTTTTTTATCAAACGATCATAACTGAACTTTAATATTTGAAATGCATTAGCACCAGTACCTGCTACATTTCTTTTGCAATCTCTCAATTCATTCAGTGCAACACTCCACAACTGTGACTCAGATATTCCTTTTAAGCTGCCAGCAACTGTAATAAGTGCCAAGGGAAGACCATCACATTCATCCACAATCTCCTTCAAAGTTGATTCTAAATCCCTTTTAATGCCTCCTCCATGATCTGATAAAACAATACCTCCAACTTTATTTAAAAACAATTTTAAAGCTTCCTCTTCTAAAAGAGTCTCCACTTGGATTCTTCTACAATCCATTGAACGAGCAACCTCTTGTGATCGTGTAGTCAATACTAGCTTGCAGCCATTGCTTACATTTGGCTCAAGAAGTCCAACATCTTCAAGTTTGAAACTGCTCCACACATCATCAAGAATCAGCAAGTAAGGCTTGTGTTTTTCTAGCATCTTTGATAACTTTGCTGCACGATTGATTGTATTTTGGTGCTCTTGTAGATTTTCCTCCAAGCTGCTTGCAATTTGCTCTTGTAGGTTGTAGCTATTAAAGTTTTGTGACACAGTTACCCAAATTACTTTCTTGAATATACCTTCCTTCAGTAGTTCATTGTGGACATGCATCATGACTGTTGTTTTCCCAACTCCCCCCATCCCCCAAACTCCAAGCATTGTCACCTCTTCTCCCTTCAAGCATGCCAAAATATTTGCTTTAACAGCCTGACTGCCTTGTAATTTTGATACTGGCAGTTCAACTGCTAAAGCTGATGGATCATCAATGACCACATAGTCTGGCAATTGACTTCCTTCTTCACACATTGTCTCCATTTCTCGAATCTTTTCTCCAAGAAGCATTATTACAGAATCAGAAGAATGCGAGAGACGCCCTCCAATTTTATCTTCAATATCTTTGACTCCCTTCAACATCTCTTCCACTTTCCCCCGCCAGCGTTTGGCTTCCTCCATTTCAATTTTCCCAAAGACAAGTTGCAAATTCAGTTTTGAACCAATGTCTACCCGTTTGCACTGCAGCTTCTCTTTCCATTCATTAAAATTCTGCACATAATAATTGAATTTTTTGGAGTGATCTTCAATGACCAAACAGTCCCTAGTGTAGTTATCCCCTCTATCATATATTTCCTTCAATTCTTGTGTCCTTTCCTCTAGAATCACTGCTCGGCAACACCAGGAAAGATACCCCCGACTGTTCACTTCATCAACAACATCCTGTCTTCCAATAAATTCTTCTACTTCTTTAAGCCAATCTTCCACTTCCGCCCTTACAACATTGTAAGGTGCAGATTGAAGCTGAGTCTCCCGTTTTGATTGGATATCATCTCTTCGACTGCGCAAGCCTTGTTTGCTTTCCTCGAACTTTTGCAAAAGATCATTATATTTTATCTGGTATTTCAGATATCTCAGAAATCGACCACCAACAAGCTTAACAATTTCGATGCTTGGCCCTACCCACTCCATATATAGCTGAGTCACTGCATCATGTTATTTACATAAAAACGCCGTGAGAAAAATTGGTTTTTATGTGCATATAGGCATATGTACTATGCATTTAAAACTTAAAAGACTTCAGGAAATGTATCGATGCTTCATAAAGAGCCATCATTTCCAACAAATACAAAATAAAATTTATTATATTTCTTGGGAAAGACCGGGTAAATGAGAAAAAAGATAATTAATACCGTAGCTAATGCCAACTACAAAAAGATGTTACGGGTAGAAACAGAGAATGAGACATAAATGAATTGTAAAATGGGCTTTTCGACGCTTTT